GTCTACTGAACATAATACTACACAAACAGATGTTGCCATGGTTTAATTGCACATAACATGTAAACATTCACAGTGCAGGGAGGAAAAAGTATGTGAGGCCCTAGCTTAATGACTTCTCCCAGAGCTAATTGGAGCCAGGAGTGAGCCAAACTTGACTCCAATCAGTGTGATGATATTGGATGTGTTGCTGACAGCTGTCCTGCCCTTAAAAAAACACACACCTGTTTTGGGTTTACTGGTTTCAAGAAGCACTGTCTGATGTGAACCATGCCTCGCAGAAAAGAGCTCTCAGAAGACCTATGATCAAGAATTGTTGACTTGCATGAAGTTGGAAAGGGTTACAAAAGTATCTCCAAAAGCCTTGATGTTCATGTGTCCACGGTAAGACAGACTGTCTACAAATGGAGAAAGTTTAGCACTGTTGCTACTCTCCCTAGGCTTGGTCGTCCTGTAAAAATGACTGCAAGAGCACAGCGCAGAATGCTGCATGAGGTAAAGAAGAATCCCAGAGTGTCATCTAAAGACCTACAGAAATCTCTGGCACATGCTAACATTTTTGTTGACACATCTACAATAAGGAAAACATTAAACAAGAATGGAGTACATGGGAGGACACCACGGAGGAAGCCATTGCTGTCCAAAAAGAATATTGCAGCACGTTTGAAGTTTGCAAAAGAGCACCTGGATGTTCCACAGCACTACTGGCAAAATATACTGTGGACAGATGAAACCAAGATTGAGTTGTTTGAGAAGAACACACAACACTATGTGTGGAGAAAAAAAGGCACAGCACACCAACATCAAAACCTCATCCCCACTGTAAAACATGGCGGAGGGAGCATCATGGTTTGGGGCTGCTTTGCTGCCTCAGGGCCTGGAAGGATTGTTGTCATTGATGGGAAAATAAATTCCAGAGTTTATCAAGACATTTTGCAGGAAAACGTACGACCATCTGTCCGCCAACTGAAGCACCGCAGAGGATGGGTGATGAAACAGGACAATGACCCAAAGCATACAAGTAATTCAACAGCACAGAATACACCTTCTGGAGTGGCCCAGTCAGAGTCCTGACCTCAACCCGATTGAAATGCTGTGGCATGACCTTAAGAGAGTGATTCACACCAGACATCCCAAGAATATTGCTACACTGAAACAGTTTTGTGAAGAGTGGTCCAAAATGACTCCAGATCGTTGTGCAGGTCTGATCTGCAACTACAGGAAACATTTGGTTGAGGTTATTGCTGCCAAAGGAGGGTCAACCAGTTATTAAGTCCAAAGGTTCACATACTTTTTCCTCCCTGCACTGTGAATGTTTACATGTTATGTGCAATTAAACCATGGCAACATCTAATGTTTGTGTAGTATTATGTTCAGCAGACTGTGTTCTTCTATTGTTGTGACTTAGATGATGTTCAGAGCACATTTTATGCCCAATTCATGCAAAACTCCACGTAATCCCAAGGAATTCACATACTTTTTCTTGCAACTGTACTTGAAAGGCACTGGTCTCAGTGTGTGGCACTGGAGTATGTGTGTGAGTCAAGGATGCAAAAAGACATTTCAAGGTTAAAGCTGAACTCTAGGTAAACAACTTGCTCTGTGACATTTGCTGGTTATCCCCAGTACTTTCCTCACGCTGTGACAGTGTGAGCAAAGTGCTGCCGATAACCGGCAACTGTATTTACTTTGTGATCAGCTGCGTCATTGGACAAAACTGATCATGTGGTAAAATGCCGCTGTGATTGGCCTTTTACCTAGCCATGTCATCAGCTGTAGACAGTGATCAATGACAGCAAAGGGTGCGCGCCACTGGAGGGCAGGCAGGGGGCATGTTCTGGGAGGACGTCATATGGCGCCCCCTCCCAGAACTGGACAACCGTGCTGTAGCCGTCATTGTCAAGTGGTTAATGCAGTTTTACTTTCACTTACAGGTCCCTCTCCCATTTGCACCCTGTGGCTGTGCAATAAGGCCCCTTTCACATGGCGGGTCTAAACAGGTCTGCCTGTCAGTGTTTAGGGCGGAACCGTTTGGATGGTCCGTTCACCCCTATGGTCAAGCAGGACTTTTTGTGAAAGTGTCTACATCCGCCAACCTCCATGTCTTATCTGGTCTTCCATGTAGGTGGATTCCACTGTCCATTTACACCCGGCTGCCATAGAGCAGAGCAGGCTCTGGCTGGGTCTGCTCTGCTTAACACCTTGACGCCAGCACCTCCCGGCCCTTTAAGGGTTTCAGAAGCCGGGGGCGGGGTTTTAAGGTCATCTGACCGCCGTGATTTGACGTCATGGCGGTCACATGATCGGGAAAGGTCCCAATCAAAAAAGGAGATCGGGACCTTTCCGTGAGTAGCGGACATGTGTGCTGGGAGCGCGCAGGGCAAATGTGCGGCCGCTCGGCGGCAAGGCCCAGACACCGCATATTTGTGTGTGGCCGGTGTGAAGAAGTTAAATTGAGCAGGCATGGATGTGTCATCTGCCCGGATCAGCAAAAGATCTGTGATCAAATCTGCTGCTGATTGGGACAAAGACCGCCCTGTCTGAAAGGGGCCCAAAGAAGTAGCAGACTAATTACATCACCTCTTGGTCACTCTGCTCTCACCTCCTATCAGCATTCTCCTTGCTAGTACATGAGAACTGCAGCACAACTGATTTGCTGTTCTACCTCTCTCACTCCACGCTCTGATGTACATTCATTGCAAAAGGTTGATTCCAAGTCAAACTGAGATGCTTACGCTGCTTGTATATAAGTGTGTATGTGTACACAGTATATACTGCATTCATTCATTCATGAAGTCTATATCTGTCTTATCAGTTTTATTTCTTAAACCCCGGACCATGCATTCACTATATCTGGTCTCCCACAGTACACAGAAATGCAATTATTTTAGTAAATATAAACTGCTAAATACCTTTTCTCATCAGCAGTGAAAGCAGTCTTGTGACTTCTATCAGTGTTCAGCAGAGCACAGGTTAAAGCCTGTAGGAGGAGTTTTCCTTCTGTTCTAGGAGGGTGCAAAACCCCCAACCTCTGGACTGTGCTGATTGGCCCTGTGCTGACCACATGAACTATCCCGAGAAAAAAAAAAAAAAAAAACCTCTCTACCAATACACACCAAACTGAGCATCTGCAGAGTGTCTCCACATAATATGTCCTATCAGGAGATTAGAAGGGGGCACTGGAAGAAGTGGGGGATCAGAGAAGTCAGGATCAAACAGCATTTTCACACAATGCAGAGGATTAACCCCTTAGATTCCACAGTGAGTATCACAAGTATGCCTTACTGCATATACAGCCTGATTTTACTGTTGTGGGTTTAGTAACAATTTAATTCCAATCTTCCTATTTATACAGATGGGCAGACTAACATCAAAATGTTGACGTGTGAAAGTCACCCTACCAACTGCTTTTCTCAAGAGAACAGTTCATGTACACTTGAATCTTTCCCCGCTCCCAGTCAAGTGTCCAATGTCTTCTATTAAAGGAAATCTTTAGGTCCCAATGACTCCTTTGACATACGCAGCCAGATGACTGATCCATGTTTTTATCGCCCCCACCCGCCTACAAGCTGACATGATGCCACTCGGCGAGTATACATTTCCAATATTAACGTGACATCTAGAAATTGACAGGTGGCACCACCACCACAGATACCGGAAGAGACGGTATACACAAAAAGCAGACAGTTGGCTTGTGGAATGTGTGTAAAAACCCCTGCTGCTGTGACATACACTGGTGGCAGTAAAAGGGTTAAGGGTTGAAGAAAGCAGTTTGTCAAATGCTATGCAGCTGCTTGCTGAAGCTCTTCAGTCCAGTCATCATATGGTAAAATAGTGAAAGTGGAGCATAAATATGGAAGGGTGGTGGATCGATTTTCAGAGGACGCTGCCATGCGGTGAGGAGGTGATGTGTTAGCAATAAAATAGCTGAACCACAGTACACAAGGTGTAAAAAAAAAAAAAAACAGAAAAAAAAAAAAAAATCAATACAGTCAACCCTGTGCTCCTCTATCAAGCCCATCCCTCAGGTACACTGTATTAAAGCTGAATTTCTCCCCAGTCTACATTAAGCAGGAACTCATATGAAGACAGAAGGAGGTATTTCATGTAAAAATACATTGAAGGATGTGACTGATGATGCCATAACTGGGAGTACTGTTGCTGTAAACAATAGCCATGTACATGAGAGCCGGGCTCCTGAACTATTATTTGTCCACCTGCACTACGCCTAGACCAAAGCTCAATGTACTTCAATGGCAAGGATTTGTTTATGTACACATCCTCTTGTTTATATTAAACAGCACAAAGGAAAATGAGGAAATACAAGGTCCTAGAGTCCTTCTACATTACATTTATCACTGACACGCCAACAGGCTGCCGTTTATTTTGCTGAAATTATATGCTTGAGAAAACATCTATGAACTTTATGAAGGACGAACAGCAAAAACAGCAGAAACATATACAAGATCTCAATGACTGGCATTAATACGCTGGCTGTAAACCTCAGACATGCAATATGAACAAAGCATATCCCTCTAGAGCAGCGGTTTCTCAACCTGTAGGTCGCAACCCCTTTGGGGGTTGCATGACCCTTTCACAGGGGTCACCTAAGACCATTGGAAAACACATATTTCCTACGGTCTTAGGAATCAAGACACTGCTCCTCTATCCGTCTCCAGGCAGGTCCGCCCACATGCAGATACACCCACATACGAGTACCCGGCGTGATGACATCATCGCGCCAACCCCATCACAAACAGCCCATACAAATACAGGTATATGTGACAGGGTTGGCGCCATAATGTACTTATGTGGACCCAGGGGCGGGCTGACCATTTGGAAACTCGGGCACTGCCCGAGGGCCCTGGGTCAGTAGGGGGCCCCATGAGATGCCCCTGGTACCTTTCATAGGCTTTTTTGGGTGTGGTTTGAGTGTGGGTGAGGACACAGGGGCCCCATGATCCCCTATTGCCCGGAGGCCCCGTGAGTTGTCAGTCCGCCCGTGTGGACCAGTCACACGTGTGAAGAGCAGCTGCTGTGCAGAAAGCAGCTGCTGTGTTGAAAGCAGCTACTCTGTTAAAAGCAGCTACTGTGTTGAAAGCAGCTGTGTTAAAGCAGAAGTACTGGAGGTAAAACGACACTTCATGAATTATAATTACTGGGTAAATGTAAAATCATGAAATACATCCTGCATATCAGATATTTACATTACGATTCATAGTAGTAGCAAAATTACAGTTATGAAGTAGCAATGAAAATAATTTTATGGTTGGGGGTCACCACAACATGAGGAACTGTATTAAAGGGTCGCGGCATTAGGAAGGTTGAGAACCACTGCTCTAGAGAGTGTACTTGTTTCAAAGTGCCATTTCTCTCTGCTGCTTCATTCCTCTGCTATCTGCATGAGTGACTTCTGACACGTTTTCCTGACACCAAGAGAAAAAAAGGGGACAGGGAGGGAGCTCCAGCACACAGCTTGTGATTGACAGCCTCAACTCTGCTCCTGTGAAGGGGTGAGTGTCCCTTCCCTCCAATCAGCTCCTAGAGCCTCCTCACTGAGCTCTATAGTGTATAATTTCAGCTGTCCACTCTTTTCTGAAAGACCAAACAAGCTTTAGGCTCCATGCACACTGGGTGTTTTGATAATGCTTGTAATGTTAGCTGTGCAAAAAATTGATTTTGTCAGCTTTTTTCAGCGTTTTTGCATCCGCATTTAGCAACGGTTCCGATTTTTTGCATTTATTAATACCAAAAAAAATTTTTTTTTTGATCAAAAAAAGTTAAAAAATGCCGGTTTATTACGTTTACCACATTTTGCTGCATTTTTCAGCATTAGAGAGTTATTACAGCTAAAAAAAAACCCCCTCTAGAAACCCAGTAGTCCTGGGGGTTTTTTGTCAGCCAAAAAAAAACATTGATTACAGTCTATGTGTGCATTCGGAGGGGTTTAATAGCTGTAGAAAAAAAACATCAAAAGCCAAAAACAGCAGCTGTAAAAAAAGTCCAGTGTGCATGAGGACTTATAAATACTGGATTTTGAACAGATGTAAAAGGAGAGAAGACTGCAGATACACAGGTACAACTTATGTAGGAGGATTTGTTTCATTTCTGTGTATCATCTAAGGCCAGTCACTTCACTGGGTATATGCAAGCATGTACAACCACTTAGAAAGTGATATTTAAAACAAAAAATAAACTATACTAAACAAACATGTTATACTTACCTGCTCTGTGCAATGGTTTTGAACAAAGAGGCTCTAATCCTCCTCCTCTGGGGAACCCTACCGGCGCTCTCGGCTTCTCTCCTCATGTGCCAACATAGGAAGCAGTCAAGAACGCAAGCACACGGCAACTAGCTTTCTGTGGCAAAGACCTTGAGTGGGGTAGGAGAGAATGGGAGGGGCTTACTTTGAGCATTAACCACTTCAACTCCAGACACTTTCACCCCCTTCCTGTCCAGGCCAATTTTCAGCTTTCAGTGCTATCACACTTTAAATGACAATTGCGCGGTCATGCAACACTACCCATATGAATATTTTAGCATTTTTTTGAGATAGATAAAGCTTTATTTTGGTGGTATTTATTCACCACTGGGGTTTTTATTTTTTTTTTTGCTATGCAAATGAAAAAGTCCAAAAATTTAAAAAAAAAAAAGTATTTTTCTTATAACATTTTGCAAATAAATAGTATTTCATCATAAATCTTGGCCAAAATTTATTCTGTTATCTTTTTAGAAAAAAAAAAAAAAAAATAACCCAAATTAGTTTATAACCAAAAATGATCATTTTTAAACTTTTTTTTATATTATTTATGTTTTTTTTTTCTTTTTTACATACTGTCACCCTAGCAGTACAGTGACACTGTACTACTTGTGGGGGTGATGAAGATTTTTTTTTTTTTCTACACCGATTGCTTTTATACCCATAAAGGCTGTAAAAGAAATCATTTCTCCTTCTCCCTGGCTGCATTCTTGCAGCCGTTGAGAACTACTGTGTGAGCTGTGATTGGTCACAGCTTGTCACATGGTACAAGGCTGTTGTGAATAGCCTTATACCATGTGACCTCTGTGATCATTCACAGATTTCACACGCAGTAAGCAATGATGTCAGAAGTGACATCTTGCTTACTACTATTCATGCGATCACGGATTGGCCAATCAATGATCACATGATCAGGACCTCATACAGAGGTCCCATACAGCGATCGGTGTTCCGCTGTGTCCCAGCGAGCGTGCACAGTCCAAAATGGCGGGCTTCGTTTATGAACAGCAACCCACTCCTGCACTGCCCCCATCCAGCTGTTTATATACACGGGCCGAACGGGAATCAAAATTCAGACACAATTTTTCTTATTCGGAGATTCGGATGTTTCCAAATTTCTCAATTACAATAGTAATGAATTTAAATGAATCCAAAATAACGAAACAAAATTGACAAAAGCGACATCTTGCTTACTACTCTGCATGTGATCACTGATTGGCCAACGAGTAATCACATGATCGGGACCTCGCACAGAGGTCCTGTCCGATGATCGGTGTTCCACTGTGTTTGGAGGACACAGCGGGCACCGGATCGTGGTGCTGCGCACTCCCAGGGAGCATGCATAGCTAGAAAATGCGGGTGCCGTTTATGAACGGCAACCCGCCCCTGGAGTGCCACCATCCTGCCGTTTATAAACTGGCTGTGATAAACTTTCAACAGCCTGCACTGCCTCTGGCCACCACTAGAGGGAGACTTCACGAGAATCCAGCAGGCTGACCACAAACAGGCACATACAAATCTTACATACTATCTGGTGCATTCTAAGAGTTGGGGAGCATTCTAGCAATTAGCACACACTTCTAGGATTCCTCCAGCTCTCCTACGAGCTGAAACCCCTGTGTTATTCACTCTTCCCACTATCCACATATCAGTCACAATACAAATGGTAGCTTGCCATCACCTAGCAGTTTGTTCGCTGACTGGTCTGCTAGACAACCCTACACACATAGATCACTGTCTGGCAGATCTGTTGGTTAACAAGCTGCATGCTTGACCCCCCCCGACCTACTTAAATGCCCTCTGTCACAGCAATGTGCGAAAAAGGGAGAGAGCGCAGGTTTTGAACGAGCTAGAGCACGTGTTCTTGCGCTGATGGAGATGCGCATCCTACAAACAACAGCACAGGCTTTTATACTTTATTCATAGAACCGGGAGGAATATGGAACAACTGAATGTCTAGGAACAAGCAGGGTAATTATTTAGGACTCTCAGAAATAATCGAAGTCAAGGCAACAGCATAAAAGCCAGATAATGAAGTCCAAAGAAGTCATAAATAGACGCCCACATATTTCTCTCATGACGGGCAAAAGTAATATGGGACAATCATTCCCCTCCTTGGATTAGTCTATTCACCAATATTCAAATAAGGACACTAGAATATGGAGCACTAGTCAGGCTGATGGGCATATCCTGCGTTCTTTGCTAGGAGATCTCTACATTAGCATATGAAGCCACAGTATGTATTAGTCATTCAGTCTACATAAAGGAAAGCAATCTTAGAGAAAAAAATATTTTACAGGACGAGTAGAAGAGACCCTTTGTAAGAAAAGTATTAGGAGCAGAAAGTCTGGATTTAAAGCAGAGCTCCACCCAAAAGGGGAAGATCCACATGTTTGCACCCCCACTGCCACATTTGGCACTTTTTTTGGGGGGGGAGAGTGGGAAAGGGAGCAAGTACCTGCTTTTGACAGGCATGCTGCAAACTAAGCCGGAAGTTCAGCCCCCTCCTCCCCCCCCAGTTTTTAAAGGTCCAAAAAAAAACTAAGGGACCAATCACAAGGCACAGCGCAACTCACGCATGCGCAGTAGGAAACTGGCTTACTCGCAACCCGGAGGCAAGTGAAGAACTAGCCTGGCTGATGACGGCACTGGACACCTGGACAGGCAAGTGTGCATATATTAAAAGTCAGCAGCTACAGTATTTGTAGCTGCTAATTTTTTTGGTGGGAACCTGGAGCTCCTCTTTAAAGTGGCAACCTTTATTGGCTAAACTTAAAATATTAACCCTTTCACTCTGAGCAGCTGCTTTGTTTTTGTTCTACACACACACACATCTTAGGCCCGATAATTAGTTTAAATTGGTTCTAGAGTTCAAAGGGGTTTTTTTTTTTTACCATAAAGTGATTCCAAAAGATTACTTTTTTTTGGGGGGGGGAAATAACAAAACGTGCCTATACTTACCTGCTATGTGCAGTGGTTTTGCACAGAGCAGCCTGGATTCACCCCTTCTCAGGTCCCCCGCAGGCTCTCCTGGCCCTTCCCTCCTGTCGGGTGCCCCCATAGCAAAGCAGCTTGCTATGGGGGCACCAGCTGCTCTGTGTGTCCATTCACACACAGAGCTGTGGCTTGCCCCCCCCCCCCCCCTTACTGGCTTACTGGCTGTGATTGACAGCAGCAGGAGCCAATGGCTCCCGCTTGCTGTCTCAGCCAGTGAGGAGGCAGAGACCCAAGACAGCTGAGGCAGTGGTTCACATTGCTGGGTCACGATGGGCCTCAGGTAATGATTGGGGAGGGCTGGGGGCACTGCTGCACACAGAAGGTTTTTTGCCTTCCTGCATAGAATGCATGAAGGTAAAAAACCTTCAACCTTTACAACCACTCCCACCACCACAAACACACAAGTCTTCAATCAGTCCAGCACTGTGCCCTGCAGCATCTCTTCACTCCCTCACAAGAGACTCTGAGAGCAACAGGAGCTACTGGCTCCTGTGAGGAGGGAGTGGGCCGAGCTGTGTTGTGCGCTCAGAAGCGAACTCACACAAGTGCCCCAACAGCACATGGCTTGCTATGGGGTACACACAGAAAAGAAGAACCAGAGAACAATGGCAGGGGATCCTAGAAGGGAGGTAAGGAAATACAACAGCATTGCACAAAGCAGGTAAGTAGAACAAGTTTATTATTTTCATTTTAAAAAATTGCCTTTACAAGCACTCTGAGTCACCAAACATGATATATTCTAAAATCAGATAGCCTGGAGAATAAAATGGTGGTAGTTGTAATTTTGTTAAGGCCACGACAGTACAATAGTTTATCAAACCCATACTTTTAGTAGAAAAATACACTAAAATTAATTTTAGTGAAAACAAAATGCATAGTTTTCCAAATTTTGGTAAAATAGAAAAGATGAGGCTGTGTCAAGTAAATGGATACAAACATACAAAGCCTTAAATTGCGCATGCCACTGAAACAGGAAAAAATGTTGGTACCCAAAATTAGCCATAGGTTACTTTCTGATGGAAACCATTAGAAAGGCAAAAGTTTGCTTGACAGGTGTACCGGGAACATGTGGAAATACCCCACTGCTGCTGA